TCATGCCAATAGCCCAGACACCTTCTCCGTACTGAATATATATATTCTGCCCGAGTATTGTATCTTCTTTCGTCTTAAGGGAGTCTCGGGACGCTACACTAGTGTATATAGGAACTTCTATTGCATCCTCAGTTTCGTCTTATTCGTGAACTGCATTGAGGCAAACAAATACACCAGGTCCATACCACTTAAGTCATGCTCTATAACGGAAGTATCTCGTCTGCCAATCGCAAGTAATAAGGAAATTGGCTCAGAAGCAGAGACAGGAAAGAAAGCACAAGATTAAAAATGGTTTTATGAGACTAATAATGCGTAACTAGCATGGTCCAAGGACCATGCAGCGGAGCTGAGGTATAAATGACAGAGGCTCAAGTAGCCGCGTAGCTAAACGCAGTAAAAATGCCAAATCACTGCGCAACGTTCCTATGTGTATGTCAGGTTATGTTAATTTTGCAAATCAAATATCCGCTATAATTAGGAAAGAAAGAAAGAAAACAGAAGGCGGCATCTGTATTAAATGATTACTATTATAATTCAAGGAATGGTAATTTTCATAACTAGAGTTTTTAAGCACTTTTTGATACTTCTTTGAGCATAAGCTTGGCAAAATTACTCATATTAAAAGTGCGTCTCTACAACTTGGGCACCCAATAATCCCTAATGATTTAATCGTTTGTTTAACTCTCAGTTATAGATTTTCTCTGGGCACTTACGCCTCCGCCTTTGCATTTCCACAGAACGCCATGGCCTCCGGGCCATGCCAGTAGTCCCTGCGGCCCTTTCGTACGTCGGCGATACATGTTCTGCCCTAGTTCTGTCTTCTTTCGTCTTCGGGTACGTTTCGAGGCAGAAAGCGAATCCGGTCCTAAGGGATAACCAGCCTGTTATCTACCGCCGGGTGACAAAAAGTGCGATGTAAGTGTAAGAATCTGTGACGACCCCTGACAGGAGGGCAGAAGACTATGTGTGCCCTTGAAAACTGCCACAGTTCTGTGTTCTGCAGGAAGACTATTAACAACCAAAGTGGCACTATCTGTGAACCACCCAAAAAGTTCGTTTCAGATCTGTGTATCGTACCTGGAGGAAGATGCCATTTGTGTGAACACATAATACCTTCACTTCTTTACTAGCTCGATGGAATCCGGATATTCATGACTGACCAGAAGTGAAAACAAATTGGCAAGGAGAAATAGACGCAAAACCCTACCTCTAAGATACCATTTTAAGCCCCGTCCTTTATTAAATAACTGCTTTTAGGTTAGTGCTCTTACGACTAGAGGTGGACGTACGAGTTGGCCTGCGTATTCCCCCTTTCTTAAATATAGTTCCCGAATAGGATGAAACTCCAGAACCAGAGGAGTCGTCAAGATGCCTCAGTGAGATTGTGGCCAAATGTCGTCTCAGTTGCACGTAAATGCGATGACTGCCTTTCTTAAAGCACCGGCCACTTTATGATAGCCGGCATGGGAAGTTGATCAAAGGAAGCGCCGGGGATGACACTCAACAGAGAAAGGCTGAAAAATACTTTAACCGTCTATTTAACTCATGATTTTGGTAACGGGCAGCCTAAGGCTCCGCCAGTGTACACTTGCCAGGCGGCCCGACCTCCGGGCCATGTTACTAGCCCCAATCCCTCTCCACGTAAATAATACATATTCCGCCAGAGTATTATGTCTTATTTAGTTCCCAGAGCAGCTACAGGATGCTTTAAATGTTATAGATCCGGAACATTTATGACCATAATATGCGATTTTCAGCGCGCTATTAAAATTAGGCTGTAATTTTTCATTCATTTAAATATTAATAAAAGCTTTAAACCTCAAGCAACAAATATAATGCTTGTTTCTTAAAAATAGTGCATCAACTACCTCAGTGGCTCTTAGTTTTTCCCACTTTTAAATATTATTTAATATCCAACTTGTAAACTCATAATTGAACCGCCTGGTTGACTAAACACTGGCTAGGATGAAAATTGAGAAGTTCGGTAGAGGATACTTCTTAATTGTTGAATTTTCAATCCTGGTGATATTTTGTATTTAATCCGGCGCATCTTTTTTCGATGCGCACAATGCCGAATCGAAATAGTTAATAAGGCGAAACTTGAAGCTCCACCTCTGCATTATAATTCTTGCGGAGGCGCATGACTTCTGCGTAATTTGCACGTGAGGTACTGATTTAAATCTTGCACCCGTCATCATCTGCTACTGTGTTCCAAGCTGTTCCTCTTGATAGTTTCTTTATAATTCAAAGCTGGTATAATGCTTCGATTGCTTGTTTAATTCCTCGTTTTGGTTACAAAAACACTGATGGGCACGGCTATTGCACCTCCACCGGAGAGCATAGCCTCCGGGCCGTGCCGGTGGACCCTCATTTCTTCTCTGTCTTCTCAATACGTGTTCTGCGCCAGTCTCATGACCTCTTCTTCAGAAAAGACTCAAAACGCTACTCTGGTTAAATTTGAATTTTTAACTAAAAGACACGACCGCAAATTTCCTATTAACTGACCCATTTGGAATTGCTTATTCCCCAACTACTTTTGGTGGATTTTTTCGCGTTTTTTAGCTCATTTATTACTTAACTTTGTTTTATTTAATTATTGCTTTTAAATCCCGCCCATGCTAACTGTATGACGAAATGAATCTTGGAACATTTGTGAACCATTGTGTCGGAACGAACAACTCAGGACACTTTAGCTTGACTTGATTTACCTGAATTGCAAACTTGAATTTACTAAATAGACTCGTGATGTTTAATGTGACAAAATTAAATAACTGTGAAAGACTTTCTGCAATATTCATTGCCTTGTGAAAATGGGAACAGGACTCCCCACTCAATATCTGACTAGCCCAAGCTGTTTCTAAAGGGTGGATTTTCTTGCACTACGTCGAGTAGACTATGGTCTTAATCGTTTGGCCTCCAGTAGGAGCTTAACTTCTTGGTAACATTTTCGTCTCAATTTCACCATACACAAAGCAAGCCCAGTCTCTTCAGGACGTAGTAATGAATGCCTCAGAATTGTGGAGTGAATAGTAATGAGATCGTTTGTGGATAACCATTAATATGTTTGCCTAGCGATATAACACAAAAGCCACTTACTACAATTCCGTCAACAGGTAATTCTTTCCCAACTGAAGGGTTTTACGAGATGAAGGAAATGAAGAGCGAGTTGATATTCTGCAAGGCTTAATGGGATCTCCAAAAAGCGTGCTGATAAGAGCAATTTAAACACCAAGCTCTACAAGTTTCCCTTTTCAGTTGATGCAGATGTCAACGGTTCTTTTTATCATCACTTCATGTAAACAATACGGATGAATAAAAATACACAACGTCAATGGCCACATGCAATTCCATATAATCATGACGAACGAGTATCCCTGGACGTGACTCATCTGCCTTTGAGTGGTTTACACAAACTTAGACCACATCCTTTTCAACTGATATTCGATTATATAAGAGCAATCGACACCACCATTAAGCTGATGTACATCTATGCCTAACAGTGCTTATAAATAATCACATTTTACTTAAACCTAATCACTTTGTGTTTAATGGACTAGAGACGGAACTGTCCATGAGAAGTTGACTATCAAATGAAGGCCAAACAAGTAGGACTGAAATCTGCTTGATATGATGCAAGAAGGCCTATCCTTCAGAAGCAGCTATACCTTATAAGTCAGTGGAAAGGAGCTCCCATTCTCATGCCCAAAAGACAACGATTCAGGTGTTTTAAGAAGCTTTGTACAGTTTTGATTTTGTCCTACGAAACACCAAGAGCACATTTGAAAACCTTATGTGTTTTTGGGATGGAAGGTATATTGATTGGATTTTTAAGTAAAATCTAGTGCAATAAAATTTTTACCATGATGCGCTAAACATCACGACAAACATGCATGTTGTGAATGTACACATCAATGAAGCAAAAGGTACTGTTATAGTTCACTTTATGGTGCAAAAGGTGTTGTACTTGTGAAACTTCCATCGAAAACTTCACAAATTGATCCACGTAACTTCGTTTCTAAAATGCAAACATTGATCGTTTACAAAAAGAAAGTCCAACTTTCCTCTCTAGGCCGATTTTGCCAATAACCTTGGACAGCAAAATTACAAACTCCTCTTTACTACCTTGCTAAGTTCAAGCAACCTCCTCTGGTTCAGCTTGATTTATCTCCTCTTTGGGCCCCAAGTAGCCTCCACCGATGATAGCAGCAGGAGCTATATCATTAGGTGGAAAAGGGTCGACTCTCTGAACAGTTTCAATGGGTTTTTCGTAATCGTTCTGTGGGAAGCAAAATAACTAAAATGAAAGATTTACAAAAACTGCATTAATTAATATGAGAGGACTTTTCTAGATCAGCAGTAGCCTCCTTGGGAGCATCACCACTCCCATATGATGCCATGTTTTATTTCGCCTTCCTAATTACCATCGAAGCTAGTAATCACGGGGATGTTTTCTCACGTTCCGGATCTCGTTACCTTTCAGTAAGTAATTTATTACTTGTTTATTGAGGGATGTTAAATTTCTTCAGTCATCTTTTTTATAGCATAAGTAAAAGTCTAGTTTGGAGAAACTTTCCTACACTAGGTTTTATTAAAATGGGAGACAAATAAAGAACGTCATTTGAATTTCTGCACTAATATACTAACATAGTCATCATTTATGCATTATCGCTAAAATATTTCATTACATTTTTGATGTTTAAGGCCGTGAATATGTATAATAAGCATGTCCAGGCTCCCAATCTCATCAGTTTACCCAAGATGTTCCCAGATATGATGTGCTATCCCATCACAGCTGGGATTTTTACTAAGTTTCCTTCATAAATTCGTATAATGCGGGTAAGAAAAGTGAGTGATAAGATTTTCTACTGATTATAAAATAAAAGAATGCAAAATTAAGTAAATGAAAAACAACTATCGCACTATCAGAATGGAAAAATTTGCAACCTTTGATTGCAATTGTAAGGGCGCTAGGTGGCTGATGACTATGGTATCTGGAATAGCTAGGCCCAAGAAGTTTCAAAAGTAAACCGTCCACCTCTAAAGCACTCGTTTCATCGACGTCCTCCACGATGCATTCAAGCGGTTGAACTGGATCCTGACGTTGGCTAGAGGTAGGCATGATGATGCCATAACGATCGTCTCGGGGTGAAGAGGTGTACCCCACATCTTCCTTCTCCTCAGTCACCTCTGCCAGGTAGTTGAGGCAAGACGAGGTTGAGGTGAGCACCGACACCTCCGATGTTGATTTCACTATGGTACCGGTGTTCCCTGTGGTGACTGTGGCGTTTATAGTTGTGGCCACGTAGCTCGACGTCGAGCCCATGAGACCAGAATCACTCCATAAACGAATCCTGCCCTGTAAGGTAAAAGTCGATCAGTGCGGCTTCAAGCATTTCGAGTCACCTCCCAACCCAACCTTCAACGTAGAATTAAAATAAAGTGCAGACAATGAAATAAAGAACATAATGCTAAAAGTTATTTACCGAGACCAAAGACAGCCTAATTTACGAGTGATGTGATGCAAATTAGCGGTCTCAGAAAGCAAATATTTTGTGGTCATCCTAGAAAAAAGGTTTTTATTTGGAGTTAAAATTGATAAACTTAACTACTTATTTAAAATTTGTGAATCATCGTACAACCATACTGCAATAAACATGCATAAAATTTTACATATAATAATAAATAACTCAAACATCCCCCTTTAAAAACAGTAAATTACAACCTGCTTATTTTTTTTCATCCCACGTACACGCTTGAAGTTGATAAAAGCCAGCGGATTCAGTTGCATGAAACTGATTCTCTGAAATAGTTCATCGAAACCAGGTCGTCTATCAGGATCGCCTTGCCAACCTAAAATAACAACACAGAACCTACTCCCAATTGTATTTGTAATTTGCGTTAGTTGATCAAATAACTAAAATTTCTGCTTGTAAAGAGTTAGGATGATACGAAACTTACACCTGCATAGCATTTGACACGAATATACTTTGATGGCCTTACATTCAACCATGAGTTTGTAGAGCTCCAAACTTGTGGTCATCGGTTGGACCAGCCGAAGTCCTTTCTCCAGATATTGAATAAGATGGCGAGTGTGGGTCCTCTCATAGGGTCTTCGACCGAGAGTAAATATCTCCCACAGGGTCACACCTTAATTAAGGCATACAGATAGAAGTGGTTTTTGGTGGGGCTAAAAAGGAATGCGGGCTAATTTTGGACATACCGTAGGCCCAGACATCGGATTTGCTGGAGAATATGCGCTTCTTGATGCACTCAATCGCGAGCCACTTAACTGGCATTAGACCACCCTTAGCTGTGTATTCTCCATCTGTGTCTTCGATGCATTTAGCCAACCCAAAGTCTGTTATTTTGATCTAAAACCAATGCATAGAAGAAATTAATTAAGGGAATCATAAAATAAATAGCATGTTTTAATCTCGTGAAGACTAATCAAAAGTTAAGGATCCTACAGGGCCTATGACACACTACATGTAACTAAACAATGAAGATGTTTGTATATGAGTCTAGTTGGTTTCAAGATAAAATGCATAAGCCACCTTAAAAGATATTCTAAAATCACGAAGATATTGATTAGGTTTAAAAAGAAATCTATACAAATCAAACTGGTCTTTAGCGATATTAAGTTTTAATTATAAGCTAGTTATAAGCTGATATTTTAAAAATAGCATAGTATAAAACTCTTAACTTAAAAAGTCCAGTTATTTACCCCTCTTCTTGTTGAAAGGATAGAATGCCGTATTTGCGTAAAATTTTTCATTTACTAATTCGAGTATCAAGGTGAGTAGAACTAGAGGGCACGAAAATCGTACTCCTACTCAGCAGCATGGCCTTCGGACCATGCCAGCAGCCACTCAACCCATCTGCAGGTCGTAAACACGTTTTGTCCCAGCATTATAATTTCTTCCGTTTTCAAGGAAGTATTGGAGTGATACGTTGGTGCCGGCGCAAAATGAACCCTGTCATAACGGACATTCCGATTTTTACTACCGATTGATAAACCTTAACGTGAAGGAAGAAGTGCATATGCTGCGAATGGGAGAATCTGTGATGACCTTTAACAGAATGGTTGACAGTGACGTCAACCTTCAGCAACTAGCCCGGTTTCAGGTTCTGTAGAAATGCTATTCACAACCGAAGCGATACTAGCCGTGAATCACCTAGAAAGTTCGTTACGGAGCTGTCTGCGGTACGTGTATGAAGATGTCAATAAAGTGAACACGCGATGCCTCCCTTACCCCTCTACTAGCTGGATAGAAGTCAGTCAGACATGGCTGGGCAGCAATGAAGTGAGAATATAGTGGCAAGGAGGAACGGATGTGAAGCCTTGTCTTCATGTAACTAATTGAACCCACTTTCCTTATTAAACAACTTTGCTTTTAGACTGGTGTTCCTGCGACTAGCGATGAACTTATGAGATGGCCAGCACATTCTTTCTTTCTTCAATACTGTTCCTAATCAGGACGATACTCCAGATATAGTTGAATTGCCAAGAGGAATATGTAAAGCTGGGATCAAATATCTTTCCAGATGCACTTAAATTCGACGATTGGCGTAGCTGATTGGGGAATAATTTTCTTGCTCCACAGGCTTCAGTGTGAAGGTTGATGAGGGAAGATAGCCAGGGAAGGCGCTGGGGACGAGGTTCAGAAGAAGAGAGGAACTACGCGGTACTTTGATAATCGTTTTAACTCTTGCTTTCGCGGGCACTGAGGGCTTTGCCCTTACACTTCTGCTGGGCGGCATGGTCTCCGAGCTATGGCAATAGCCTCCCAGCCCCTTTGCAGTTTGGGAGTACCTATTCTGTCCCAATTTTATATCCTCTTTTGTCTTCAGGAAAAACTCGTTACGCTGCATGTATATAGCTGTTTAATTTAGTTAATCGTTTAAGAATCTGTTTTATGAAGTAAAGTAAATTATTTTTTTTTAAAAAAGATACACCTGTGATGAAATTAAAGATGAAAAGTGCGCTTCCGCTTGGTTTATTAGTTGCAACTGTACACATAAATTTACTTCGGAACCTCTTTTTAGCAGAATTGAAATGCGCTATTGATGTCTCCCTTAAATTTCACAACATCGAGGCGGTTCAATTATGCAAGGAAGGCTTCCCAAGTACGATGGTGTAGTATGATTTGCGAAAGTGGTAAGAATTGATTTACTACGGTTTGTAGGTACTTTGTTAACAGAATGGTCTCTAAAAGCTTTAGCGTGGGATATTTTCTAATAGAAGCTAATCTGAATTTCGTCAAAGCTACTATTTCATTTAGGTTTTTGTGAACCCATTTGCCCTCTTAAATTATCACCAAATGCAGTAAAAGAACCGCGTCTATTAAGAGAATTGACAATCACAACTTACTTTTTATCAAGAGACGAACCCCAAAATGCTTTTGATTGTTAATTGTCATTTTCGAAAGAATCGGTAATATTAATCCACTTGACATTACAAACTATTCTATACAGTAATGAAAAAATTACCCAAAACTTTTGAACTTGATACATACTTCTAGGGTAGAAAATTCATGCTAGAATAGGCAGAAAGGAGGAAAGCACCCTACCTGTTCAGGTGTTTCTACAAGCACATTACGAGCAGCTAAGTCACGGTGAATGATGCTTCGCGAGGCGAGATATGCCATTCCACTGGCTATCTGGTTGGCCCAATTCAGCATGATTTCAGGAGTTATAACATCACAATCGATCGCATTAGGACCGCCATGTCGATGAAGGTAGGACAGCAGACACCCCAGAGGCAGAAATGGTGTGACAAGTTGTGGACGGGCTGTCATACAGAGAGCCAGCAAACGAAGGCAGCAGGGGTGATTGACCGTCGCCATAAGCTGCAAAGTAAAAACTTAAATAGACTTAGGTAACCGCCTATGTACGATGAAATACTCCTGAGAATATCATGAAAGACTAACAATGTTTGAGACTGGCCGCGATAATTTACGATCGCTATTAATCACAACAATTCTACGGATTCGACTACTAACACGAGCCTCATCAAGAAGAGCCTTGGAAGTAAATGGATCAGTCTCATCAGTGAGCACTTTGATAGCGACTACGTGTTCTTCCACATTTTCCATGTAGAACTTCTCTCTTTCCTCCTCGCAATCTTCGGAGAATCGAAACATGCCTGTCTGTGGGGCAGGCGAAGACGTTATGTTTAGTTCAGAAGTGATAGGTTTCTCCACTTGTGACAGGGGTTTCAGCTCCGTTTTCTCCTCGAGTACCACAGACTTCTCCAAATTTTGGGCCTCCTTCGCCTCCTTTTCCTCCTCCTCCTCTTCCATCGTAAGGTATTCCTGTTCCGTGCTGGCGTATGCGTTGTCCTCCACCAGCGAATCCAATGGCACCAATTTCGGCTTCTCCAATTCAACCTTGGCAGCCTGCGCAAATAAGTCGTCAACCTTCTTTGCAAATTCTGGAGAAATCGGGCCCTTGTACCATATGCCTCGGTAGACTGAACCAAATGCTCCACCACCAACTCGATTACCCAGTTTTAGCTGGTACTCAGGTATTATGAGCAGTGTGGTCATGTCGGGCATTGTATCCTGAAAGAACGATTAGATGCTCGTAAAGGAAAGTATTTCAAATAATCTTCAAATAGTGAAATATTTACTTTTTTACCAGAATCAACACACTTCCCGACCACGTTTTCAAGTAATTATTTAAAAGGTTTTTAAAGGCTTCTTTACAAAAGCTGTCCAAATATAGAGTAAGTTTCACCTAATAATGAATATTACTATTTTACATTCCAGAAGCCGAACAACAGTCCTGAGTGGGCGTGAGTTAGTAAAAAGTAATTTATTCACACTCTTCCCAGTCACTTGGATTATTTATGAGAATGACTTTGGTGACCTACATTAGTAATGAAATGGAGAGTAAAACAAATCATCACAAAATTTGCCTTCATTGTCTAAATGTGAAAACTGACGGTCCACTCACTGCTTGAGATGATACAAGGTAGCTTTGCTCATCATCACCATTTAGCGTGTTAGATCTCACAGGAAGTGAACGCAGACTTATATTTCTTCGTGATTTACTCAATCTCCGGTTATTTTTCTTCTCTTCCAGTTCCGCAACAACTACCGCTCTCATCCAAAATCGGTTGCACATAGAACTTCTACCACTTTGAAGTTGGTCAACCACGGGCTCACTCCTTGATTTGCGTCCACGAATTACAATGCGAGAGCACACGTAGCCGAAGTAAACAGCTACGAAGAGGGCTAGAAGGCCACAAAAGATAAGCAGAGCTGTAGACAGCCAGGAGAGGCGGTTGAGCAACCGAGGACTAATTATTTCCGACCAGGTGCAGAAAATGAGACACTCGTCAATTTTCCCTGATATCGCAGGCGGAAGGTGGTGTGAGATCCCAGTGTGAAGACATACAAACTCAACCGCAGTTGTGATGGAATTGAGCTCCACATGGGCAATGCTATCCGGAGGGCAGGATTCAACACAAATCCACTAGGTGAATAAAAGTAAAAGTTGTGCACTCATTTAGAAAACGAGCTTGGTGCTAAACGGAAATAATTTGATGGTTTTTTGAAACGAGATAAAAAAAATAAGGTATGATTTTGCGACTACCAGAGAAATTAAAAAGAAATACCAAATTAAATACTATCATTTGAAAAGCAACAGTTTTGTGAAATTCATCGGAAATGATTTAGCTCCACAATTCTATTTAGGGCCACTTCGTAAACTATTTATACAAGACTGCTTTAATGTGTTGGTTGTTTAACTCTCAATTTGGTCCACTTAGGTGCTACGCCATTGTACCTTCTTCGGGTGAGTACGTTTTCAGGCTACGCTAGTAGCCCTAAGCCCTTCTGAATGTTGAATACATAGATGTTCTGCCCAAGTATTGTCTTCTCTCGTCTTCAGGAAAGTCTCTTGGAGCTACATTGGTGGCAGCGGAAAGAAAACCCGATCTTAAAGGACACATATCCTGATTTTTGCTACTGAATTATCAACCTTAGCGAGGTGGAAGAAGTGCATTTTGCTACGGATAGGCAAAGATGAGAGGGCCCCTAACAGAAGAACTGAAAATGATGTCTACCTTCATCAACTACCCCAGTACTGTAATCCGCAGGAAAGCCATAAACAACGGAAGCAAAACAAACCGTGAAGCATCTCAAAATTTTCGTTACGAAGGTGCTTACCTTACCGATATAAAGGTGTAAAATATGTAAACACGCAGTATCTTCTCCATTTCTCAACTAGCTGGATAGGGTCTGGATAGATATGGCTGGGTAACTCTGAAGGAAGAGCAACGAGGCAAGGAGAAACAGAAGCTAAACCCAACCCCTACGTAACTAAGTTCGATCTCGTCCTTCGTTACATGCCTCTGTTTTTAGGCCAGTGTTTCTACGACCAGCTGTGTACACAAGTAATAGCCAGCCCATTCCCCGTCCCCGAATCCAGTTCTCAAATTGGTCGACACTACAGATCCAGTTCAATTCCCAAGAGGGATTAGTGACGTTTCGGTCAAGTATCTCCTTAGTTGAACGGAAATTTGACGAAAGGCACGGTTAGCTCGTAGGTGTTTTCTTATGGCACCGATTACGTTGTGATAGTTGACGCAGGAGGTTGGCCAGGGCGAGCGCCAAAGGCGACGCTCAAAAGAGGAGAGGGGCTATGGAATATGTTGGTTGTTTGTTTATCTCTCAGTTTTGGTAAGAGGGCCAATTTGAGTCTCTGTCATTGTACCTTCGCCGAGTGAGCTGGGCTCTGGGCCATGCCAGTAGCTCCCCAGCCCTACTGTACGTCAACAGTACATATTTGGCCCGGGTAATATATCCTCCTTTATCTTCAGAGAAGTCTCAGGGCGCTACAACAACGCCAGGATTACAAGCCGAATATGGCGAAATGTCCTGTCAAAGTTATGGCAAAAGTGTTCCGGGGTAATTTCATTTATGGTCACTTGAAGTATACTTACGTAACTAGTTAGTTTGTAGACACTAGGGCACGGTTTAGACACCTGTCTTCCGCAATCCTCCTTCTAGGAGCATTCATCACAGCTAAGATCAATTAACCCACCTTTGTCTTCTCTTTGTTCAGATATCTTTTATAGTGCTGACAGAAGAGGCAGTCACTAGATAAGGGTCCGCCGCAACTCTGACTGCACTGGTCGTGACAGGGACGACATTGCTTGCCCCCACTAGTCAAATTCGCCTCATAGGTGCCTGTCGGCATCAAAATATTTAATTAGTTGGTCATTACCTACTTTACTAAAATGCATATAAATAGATATGTGAATTGATTTAAACGAAGAGATTGCCAATAAAGGAAGGTAATCAATTGGAGGTGTGTGTAAAAATAAGCAGACTCTAGTTGCTGCTGTTTCGGTCACCATCTTGGTAGCATTGTTTTCTATCACTTCTGCTACTAACTCACCACCACTACCTCTGTACAACTCTATTAAGGGAGTAAATTTATGCTCATAACTTTGTTGGAAAAAAGTCAGCTGCTACGGATTTGTAATAACCGAATGGTAAATCAGAAGGTTAGAGCCTTGGTAAAATTAAACCAAATTTAACTAAAATAGGAAGACAAGCTACTGATGGATAGTAAAATACTGAACTTTTAATTGATTGGAACATAAAAATGGTAAAAATAGTTGCCATATTATCTTGATTAACAAACAAATTTATCAAAGCAAAGTAATTAGACAATCACAAAGATGGTAACTAACCAAAAATGTTGTCATATTTGATCATACTTTCTCAAATGCTCTTAATTTATTGTCCCAATAGTTTTATATTTTTGTCGAACATTGACAAGTGATTCAATTAAAAATAAAGCTTTGTCACTGCAACGAAAGGTTGAAAAATGACTCAGGCTCGAAATTTGGCTTCAAAGAGCTGGACTGAATTAGCCAACCAAGATGGATCAGTTAGTTTATAGCTAAGCGTCAAATGCATGAAATTTGCATTTTCCACTGGGGAAGTATTTCATTTCTCTACAACAATCAGCTGACTGCATTTTGATGAAGGTCAAATTTGATGAGCACCATTACAGATTTGAAAATTCTGCTTGCCTTCATGGCAGCTGGCCACGCAAATTCCATTGAATTGGGCATTTCGACATCGCACGCACTGATTGGGTGAGGGACCAGAGCATCCGTCTTGGCATTCAGGATGGCAGGGAGCGCAAACACGCACCATGTTGATACTGGCGCTCTGCAATTGATGCGAGGACAACCAATCACCGAGGGGCTCCTGAAGCTCGTGCGGAACATGGGACAATGCTATGTCACCACTTATTGCCAATTTGGGATCTCCCATTTTCCGCTTTTGTCCACCAATAAGATGTAAGAAAGTGCGCTTGGGGCAAGGCTGAAGAGTATTATTTGACCTTATTTTTATATGGGAAATATTTGTGCGGCCTTAAGTAATTGCATAATTTTGATGCTGCATGTTTTCAGAAAGCAACAATAATAAGTTATTAAATTTCCTTCTTAATGACAAACCTGATAAGGTGTAAGGCACTTCAGTCTTAAGCCATGTTCCTCATTCGTCGTTGCTGCAGCAACGACCTGGATGCATTGTGAACAGCCGTTGTGTCCGAACCAATCTCCAGGTCCCGTGCACACTGCACTCCAATTGCTTGATTCTGTGGTGTCTAAAACGCCGCGTGGATGTGATGTGCAAACAGCTGCACATTCATAGCAGATATTCTCTTCGTTGGGAAACTTTCCCAAGGGACATTCGGCACGGCAAAAATTCCCGTCCTAAAAAAATTGCATAATGGAATGTTATCAATCGATATACATAACTTTCTTCCTTAAAAAATACCAGTCAAATTAAATTCGGAAACCAAAAATCATTAGGAAGAACCTTTCTAAATCTGTAGGTGTGTTAATACCATCTTCCAATTAGATTTTAAGATATAGGTGAAGTGATTCGCTTCCAAGAGTCGATCCGGGCGGTGAAAAACTCACCTTGACATGTGCACAACCATAGTTACAGTGATTGGCATCGGGTCCATTACAAGCTCCAGGCATAGAACCACACTCTTTGTGGCACTTTGAACATGATTTTATTTTCAGCGCTATATTTTTATCGATTGTTTTGGTAATCATCACAGGGTAGTAGCCACCGTCGGCTAATGAGCAGTTGAGCACGCATCGACTAGTTTCACCGCGACCTTGAATGAGCCAATGAGCACAGAGGCGACAATTTTCCGGTCCAGGACCCCAGCATCCTTGAGAGAGTTCACAGACGCTTGTATCGCATTGAAAGCCTTTAGAAACTAGATAAAAGGAAAGTGGAATTCAGTAGACGTATTGAAGTGGATAGCAAACCTATAGCGTTTGCTTTCAGACTCTTATGAATCACAGGACAAAAAGAAGCATAATTAAACCACCGGATGAAAATAGGTTGAACGTCAATTGCTTGAATTTAATACTGCCTTAAGAAGCTTTTCAAATGCTCAGAATGCTTGCTTGTAAGCGCGGTCATTTCGAAAGCGAGTTTGGTAACGGTATCATGCAATTCATGCACAATTACTATCAACTAAATGAATTCGGTAGCTTTGTCTGGGGAATGTTTGCGATGCAATAGCATATCTGGTGCGCTACAATTTTCCATACGTTTGCTATAATATCCAGTTGCAAAATCCTGAAACTACTGCTAATTATAAGCTTGATCAAATACCAACACCTACTATTTAAGCCGGTTACTGAAGCTCACCACAATCCTTCACGGTGCGATTTGGAACGACTACGGGGATTGGTATCGTCGTGTTAGTAGTGGTTTTTGGTGCCCACATAAGCGATCGCCAGTTAACTGTATCCGCAAGGCAAAGTTTAGGATTTTGGACGATTTGAATAGTTCCTCTGTATACACCGACATACACCAGCGAGGCAAGACCGAGGTATTCCAGATAATTATTATGGACTATTTTTAACGGAGAAGTGTATCCTGATGGCACCTCTGAATGAGAATGGAAACACTTCAATTAGTTTATTTGAAATTTTTTAACTCCCGAAAGTATTTCTTAGCTAAATTAAAAGCAAATCAACAAATAATTATCTGTAAGGGTGTTCAAATGAAAGAAATTGCCCTTACTAGTATGAACTCACCTCCTCCGATGTGTCGCAACTTTGAGAGAAAAGTGAGATTCTTTAACCAAGGTGCTGTATTGTCCGTTCCAACATAGAGAACACCCGTTATTTCGAAGAGACTTCCAAGACCACTTTGTAAGTCTTCAAATGTCACTGACTCCTCTTCTTTCGTCAGATGGTGGAAAGCATCACTGGATTTTTTTGAAGATCCAAAAGTGTATTAATGCATTTTGAGGCAACGACAACTCCTTCTAGAGAATAGATGACGGTCCGCAGACTGAAGTTGGTTTGCCTAAACTACTTGTAACAAATTAAACTTGGCAGCACTAAATAACACGGCTGTGGGGTAGCTGACATTATAGTCAACTAACAAAATATTGTAATATTTATTTGTAACAATTGCTCACCCTTCGAACGACTGCCTTTTGAGGATGATACTACCTTCCCAGAAGGTGCAATTTACCATTTTCCTTAGGAGACTCTTGTGAAGAAAATCAACCGAAGGTAGCTGGAGCTGCTTGCCTGAGCACGCTTTAAGTTTAAAGAAAGGTGAAAAAATACGGTATTTACTTAAATGAGTAGTTATTTATTGTTATACATATTGATTCACAGAAACGAGATGACAGCCCCTAAATATTCATCCAAAACAAATTTGGTCGATTTGTCAGAAAGGAATAATCATAAATTATTTGCAGATCAAAATTCCCAATGACATAATCAATAAACTCAGTTAAGTATTCAAACAAAGGTGTTCTCAGTTTAAGCTGTAAACTATGCAAATTTTGAACAGGGTTAGTAAGTTAAGCAAGTGCATTACCACAAAAACTTAAAACTCACTTTTTGGGCATCCAGTCGGTGGGCACTGAACACACACATTGTGAACCTGTTGAGTTCCAGGGCGAGAACATTTCAGCACACAGTGGTCTCCATCCCGAAGGAAACCATCTGTGGTGGCAAAATAGGGGGTTTATTCAGTTTATAAAGCATCTACTTATAATAACCTCAGTAAATAACATACCTGGACACTTCGAGACGCACATATGCCCTAATGCTACTCTACCCTCCTTGTTTACTTTCCAAGACGATGTGTGGACATCATAGAAACGTGTGGCTGGACATGCGGAAACACAGTTTCCCTCATGGGAGTATCTTCTGCAGGCCTTGAACAGAGTGGAAAAAGTTACGTGTACATCAAGAGCCAAAAAAATGATATTCCCTGGAACACAAGATTTACCAAGCATTCATTGGCCCTTGTTCCATTACACCCACCGACACATTCATCATGGCAGCACTCCTCTACACCTCCCTCTTTGACACATCTGTTGGGGCCGCTGCAAACTCTCGTCTGACATTTCCTAACTGTGAAGGTGAGAGGGGGGCAACTTAATATAATGCTGTCTTACACAGTATAAAATACACACAGTGGCATACGTATTTGACACTGGTCAGCTCCAGGTCCCCAGCAGAATGACATTCCGTTTTGCTTGGAGCAGTTGTCATGGCATTTCCATTTCATCCATGGTCCATTTCCTGAGGAGAGATTCCAAAGAACAGGATACATTTCGTTTGTCAATATTCCCCCAAATTCACTTGAAATTTTCTCTGAGTCTCGTGCAATGCTTGTTGAGATTTGCTCCTGGTGAGTGGTTCCTTAAGGTAAGAAAACAATGTACACAAAAGTGAAAGAATTCTAAAATGTGAAATGGTCAACTCTGACAAGAAATTAACTTTTATAGAAATAGGTTTACGTTAGGTTTTGTGCAGTCCCTGAATAAGTCATGTGAACAGTTTTCTTTAGTTTGTCTGTGAGAAAACAAATTGGTATCTTTCCAATCCCTATGCTTCAATCATTCAGCTAATGAAGAATAATATTGGTGTAAACCAAGGATTTTGTTATAATAGTACCTGTCGTGACTACAACTGTGTTAACTTCCTTTAGGTCCACTTCCTTATTATTACCTAGGGAAACCTCGGGATTCTCATCATCATTTTGTGTTACATTGTCCATGACCTCGGTAGACACGACTTCTATCGGATTGATTTCTAGGGTACTGAAGCCCCCAATGATCGGTTGACCATTTGTCATTAGTTCCGTTGCATGTGATGGTTGAGCGTTGTCTAAAGCCACCGTTGTAATCACATCTTCATTGGGTTTACGCCGCAGCCGAGAGCTTTGAACTAAAATAAGTGTTTTATAAAAAGAAAGATGATCTCCGTCTGTAAACATTCAAATGTTGAATACAATCATGTGTTTATTAAAAATCGAAAATATTGATTTAGCATTGATGCATATTTATTGAAATCCGGATCTTATAAACCACCACATAAAATTTGAATGAAACTGTCATGGTTTTCTCAAATTCAGTTCAGAAACCTCTGGATCTGTAACTTAACTTTTACGTGAATTTCAAAATGTCAAGACCGGTTAAATCGTTCAACAATTAGGCAATTTTAATGACGACTCGTTGTGATATTAATAATTCAAAGCCGTGTAAGTTTACTTACTTGCTGTAGACCGCTCTCCATTACTCATATTCACAGAAGACGGGGGTGTAGTGGTGAGAATGGATACTTTTGAAGCATTGCCGTACCGAGTGGCACAAGCCGTGATCCAGTGGGAGGTTGCGGATCTATCATTCATGGGAACCAACATCACTGGTTGCAGATCGGGATACTCCAAAATATCATCCCAGTTCACCGAAAATGGTGCGTAGCAGAGGCCCGGATTATCGAAGAACCCCACTCCATGCATAAGAATGGCTGAATCAAGGTTTAATTAAAAAAATGAAATTTTACGATTTCTAAGAGAAGGCATCTAGTAACTAAAATCTGCCGAAATTATTGTAATTTAGCAATATGAATCAATTCTAATTTCTTAAAAATCAGGAATACACTCGGAAATCCTTGATCGCTAAAACGCCTGCAACAAAAAAAATGGAACTCTTTAGGGTTTTATACCAAACTGACCTTCAAGAGAGGGAAACTCGATATCTGACATGAAGTCCCGATCGGAAGTATAAGTTTCCGTCACAAGAAGGGTGAAGGCCTGGCCGCGTATCTGAACCGACTCTTCACCGCGAATTATTCGTAAATTCGGTAATCCGAAATGCGGCTTCGTTACACGACGAATGAAAACGTAACCCGAGACTTCCTCAATAGTGTTTAGGAACTCGACGTCCTCATCTGTAAAACGTGTGTTTTGAAAGACCGGTGTACAAGTGAGCCTGGATAAAAGACTCCGAACAGAGTAATGTTTGAATTATTAAATCTAAACACAAAAATACAAAAATTAGCCCCATCCTTCAATGATGCATGCGTATCACTATTTGTTTCATTTAAAGATGCTGGTATGTGGCATAGAAAAGCAATTTCTTTGAGTAGACAGAGATAATGAGAACTGTAGAAACAACGCACTAGGTCGTATTTCAGAAACGATGAGATTTCCAAGGATGTGGCTGCAGTTGCGAGCGAATTTCGACTTCAATTTTTCGTAATTACCAAACAGGGCATCCTGCCAGGTTGAGAACCCTTTACAAACTTCAAAATGCATGAAAAAACAATTAAGGAGGTTTTCTTCAAAGAAGCAAACTGTAGTATTTCTAACCAATTCAAAATCCACTATTAAAGCATAGGAAGGTATGTGCCAAAATGTCCATAAACGTTAAAAAACGAAAATAAATAAACACTTTTCGGATTGTTAATGGTTTGGTTGGGTTGACTGAAGACGGGTGCTGTTTTAAAACTAGGAACATATCCAATGAATGTATTTAGGTATGATTATTTGGGTCTAACCACAGAAAATATAAATTTTGGCGTCTGAATAGGAGTATCAGTATTGCCCATACAAAGGTCAGAGTGCATTAACAAGTACACCCCTTCTTCAGTAGTAAATTACTTACTTATTTTACCATGATATTTGGGATCTCGAAAGTAGGGAGTGAACGGATTGATAAGTTCGTGGGTAATCAGTTCCGCCTCATCAATGGTAGGGAAATCTTCAGCCCCCATGAAGCAGAGCAGAAGGACTAGCAAGTGCAAAGAGAGCATTTCAAGTAAAAATGATAGTTTGGGGCGGAATAGGTGGTCCGGACACTCACACGTGCCTGGTGTAAGTGAATATGCAAATTGGGCTCGCAGGCGTGTGCACCACTACTTGTACCCGTGAGGAATGTGGGGCGTGCGCACAGGTCCGGTGATGGTCGTGTCGTCACAATGATTGTATTTGCATAAAACAATGGACTAAGCATTAAACAATGAACAATTAGGCGTGGTCCGAGTCTCCCGCCTCACAAATTGTAATTGAGGCAATGGCAAAAGTTTGTAAATGACATTCAGTTAACCCAAAACAAAGTGGTATTTTCCTCGAATTTCCTGCTTTTTTGTTATGGAGTAAATAAAAACGGCACAATTGTTCAGTATCGAATACACTTCTAATTCCAATAGGTCTGAACATGAGTTTAGCCCATTTCTAGATCTTTCCTAGTAAGTTGGTAACCTTTACAAGTTTGAAAAACTAAAGTGTTATATCCAAACGATGGCATACTTAAATGGGCAGTTGCAAATGGGTCGGCTTGATAATCAGCAACACATTTATACCACAATTCTCTTCTTGAATGCATCCTACTTGTCTATGAGCCGTCAAGTCAGCTAATTTGCATAGTGGATGCGAGTTGATAGTCGCCATGACCGAGAAAAGCGTTTATTTTGTTGAGAGGGTTCTGCAGCCTAATTAATTCGGACACCGGGTGCGTTGTTTTTTCCGGCCTTAAGCATTAGTCACAAAGGCATTTAGTTTCGGAAACACGTGATGCTCCGCAAAACCATATCGAGTGATAATAGCGCCGAAAACGTTTATGGGACATAACTGTAGGCATAACGTCAAAATAAAGCGGCGAAGGCTCAACTACAACGTTGATTAGGTTTAAAATGGTAAAATGAATATAAGGTGTTGTTTTGGTCCAAAAATATTTGCTTTGCCTTTGAGAAACATGTCTTTAGATAAACAGCTTTAAAATAACCGCGTCTGGAAACCCATTAAAACATTCAAGCATATTCCTTTTATGACAAGAAGCTAGCCATTCGTTGGTCCACGCTGGGGTCCGAATTTAGTGCACCTGCCTCAGCGTTTTGATTAAAGTGGCAAGATGTCACATTCTTTGCTCTGTAGCTTGTCACCCAGTCTCATTGGCCTAAACCAGAGCCAAAAGATCAAACTTATCCTCCGCTCTCCGTTGTGGAAGCTACTGATGAATGGTGTGACCACTGACGCAGAAAGTTAAAATGGAACTATATCGGTTCCTTGCAGCATCACTAAGTTTTTTTCACAGAAAACATTATTGTGATTGTTGTTTTCCTTTTAAATATGAATGAAGTCAAACTGTTTCCGTAATTATAAAGCTATAATATTAGCAAACACATGCCGACGGCGGGAAAGCAAAGCTGTCTAAAACTAGATAAGTCTAGTTTAGCTAGGATCAAAAATGTTGGATCTTTGTAGGGACAAGTGCACTTTCCGATTTCGCATTTAGACTCCAAACATCCTGTGCTGGTAAGGATAAACTATAAATTTAATTGAAGGATTCTCCACCTTGGTGTTAGTTTATGTAGTAAACATCAAATAAAGGAGTAAATATTGTCTGGAACAGGTTATGTAAAATGCGTGTCATTTTATATTCATTTAAAATCATCAAAAATGAGTCTTAAAGTACAAGATTTGTGCATCTACCCGTATTTTTAATGCCTATGAAATCAGAAACTTTATTCTACATACTTAAATATATTGGGGTTTATTACAGCAAATAAATCCACCAGTTGGTTTATGTTGCTATTTGGAAAGCAGCGTATGGGTTGCAATGCAAAGCAAATTAGTCACAAAATCATTGAAGATTAATTCAAAGCGAAGGGCTTTAAGCCTAAAAAACTGTGCTCTTTTCATATACAATTTACTGGAAAACACTCCCTTCACTGTTTTTTACATGCATAAATTTGGCACTACTTTAGCGTCGTTAGTCGTAAGAACATTGACCTAAAAACAGTCATTTAGTAAGGGAAGAGGGTTAAATTGCCTTGCCACTATGTTCTCACTTCAGTGCTGTCCAGACATAGCTATCCAGGTCCTATCCAACTAGTGGAGAGGTGAAGGAGGCATCGCGTGTTCGCTTCATTGACATCTTCATACAGGTACCGTAGACAGCTTCGTAACGAACTTTCTAAGTGATTCAAGGGAAGTATCAATTCGGCTGTGAATAACATTCCTGCAGAACACGGGACTGGGGTAGTTGCCGGGGTTCGATGGCATTTTCAATCCTCCTGTTAAAGGCCATCACATATTCTCCCATCCGCACCACATGTCCTTCTTCTGTCTTGTCAGAATTCAACTTTCAACCATGGAAATCAGGAAAGTTATCTATTTATATCGTGTTTACGTTGTGGCACCATCAATGTAGTGCCTCAAGACTTTCCTAAAGAAGAAGCAGAACATGACACTAGGGCAGAATATGCGTTACCGACTTAGAGAAAGGCTAGGGGGAGGGGCTTTGGCATACCCCGAAGGTCGTGCCGCCTAACGGAAGTACCAAGGCAGAGCCTTGAGTGTCAACGAAACTAAACCGAAGTATTCAACAATTAAAGCATTACACCTCCTATATTTCACTATTTTCTCAGCAAACCACTATCTTCAGGCGAATCATTTGATCACACTGATTATCTTTTCTTAACTAAAGAATCAGAAGTGTAAGCCGGTTTTTTAGCTTATTTCAAGGATTGGTACACCTTTATTTCTTAATATGACAATTCAGTTTGATTGCTTTATTCAATTCGGTATATTAGCCATATTTTTTCCAGCGGAACAGAACAATATATCCGAAATAAATTTTCTTGGTGACCTTTAATGTACCATCGCTCATAAAATGCCATTTCTATCATTTAGGCTTCGTTAAATTGATCATTAGAAATGCTGTTCAATTTTGTTCTTCCCATCGTTGTTTGGTTACAGTAGGCGTAATATTTAAGGATTTATTAATTAGGTAAGTCGAATTTTGAGTAAAACAGAGAGGTTTTAAATGTAATATGTAGGTCTGGATCTGCACCGATAGTGGACCTTATTAAGGCTGCTTGGCCGTTTTCTCCACAATGGCTTTAAAGAGTAGGATTTATTCTTGTCGCCGTAGTTCCAAATGCTCGATATTGCAAGTAAGGATGTTCACTGAGATGTTAAACGAAAATTTATGAACTATGCATGAATATTTAGTAAGATTACTTTCATAATTTTTCTTACGAATGATGGTGCACAATTTGAACAGAATAACTAGTGAAACACTTATCAATGCATTCAGACTACAGAAGCTTGCCTTACACATACTTTTGACAAACACGGTTTGAAGTGGCGTTGTCAACACGTTTTGTATTATGTCCTTTACAGAGTAAAAGAATTGCGCTTGTTTTGATGCCAAATGTACATACACAGGCTTTTAGCATTTGTTGATGAACTAACATCAGCATTCATGCCTAAAGCCACATAATCCTTATTCACCTTAGTATCACGCCTCCTCCCACAATGTCATTCGATCAGTTTAACCAATAAAATTCATCCGCTTACTTGTTCAAGCAGGACTTATGCTTACCCAACTTTTTACTAGTCGTGTTCATTATTGAGAGCATTATATTAATATTTTCCCTGAACTTATTTACGATGCACCAGTAGTGTTGACGTCTGAGCAACAAATGACACACTCATAAGAATTAGACAGATAATGAGCGTATCACAGTACCTCTCCCTTTTAAGCATCGACCTTAGCGCTCCCCTTGGTCTACCTCTTGCTTTAGTCAACATGACATAGTCAATGATGTAGGAATACCCACGAACCACTCCTGCTTGTCATCAAATTTCCGTGCAACTGAGAAGATATTTGACCGCAATGCCACTAATCCCTCTTGACGATTTCACTAGATCCGGAGTTTTGCCCTGTTTGGGAACTGTGTCGGGAGAAGAAGAATGTACCGTTTATCTCGTGAGAACGCTGGCCTAAAAGCATTATGTTCTCACTTCAGCGCTGCTTGGCCATGTCTGACTAACTTCTATCCAGCTAGTAGAGGGGTAAGGGAGGCATCGCGTGTTCACTTTATTGACATCTTCATACACGTACCGCAGACAGCTCCGTAACGAACTGTCTAGGTGATTCACGGCTAGTATCGCTTCGGTTGTGAATAGCATTCCTACAGAACATGGAACCGGGGTAGATGCTGAAGGTTGACGTTATCCTATTAGATGGCTTCGCAGATTCTTCCAACTATATCATATGCTCTTCTTCTGATGCGTAGGGGTTCAGTATTTAGCCATGGAATTCGGGGTATTTCTTTGGGATTAGGTTCCCTTTTCACTGTCACCAATACAGCACCCTGAGGTTTTCCTGAAGGCGAAAGATGTAATCATACTAGGGCAGAATATGTGTTGACGATGTAGAGAAGGGATTATGAAGGCTACTGGCGTAGCTCACAGGCCTAGTCGCCTAAAGGAAATACAAACGTGAACTCCCAGGTGTCTGGGGAACCAAAACGAAGAGTTACTCAAGAAGTCTAAACATCACAATAGTATTGCGGCTAATAATACGCTTACAAACGCATATTTAACATCACGGTGGCCATCATCCACTCCACTTTTATTCACAAAAACAAAAAGAAAATTTGCAGCTAAATACAATCAGAGACACTTTAGTGTTGTCGGTTGCAGAGAATTGGACTGCAAGACATTTGCAGAACTTTAGAATACAGATTTAAAAAAGCAAAATGATGCTTTGAAAGCATTTGAATAGGTGTGCTGCGTTACCGGATAAAGTATAAATACGATTCGTGCAAAATTCTATGAGCTGTGCCACAGAATCCACACCAATTCACGATATTTTACTAAAATTTTTAATTGTTTATTGATAACAGCTGTTAAGTTCCAGATTACAAGCGCAATTTTTAGCCTCAATCTATGGATAAAGTTGAATGAGCTGCCAATGTGCGGAGAGTTATTTCGCAACATTTACAAGGAAAGAACTGGTAAT